GGATAGTTTTCAGCCTTTTAAATGATTCAAAGTCTTTGATGAATCACTGGATTCTATTGCTGACCTCGTTTTCTGACCTTTCCCTTACTTCACAGGTCAACAGTTCAGTCAGCAACTACATTTTGAATAATTTGTCATTTGAGATCTCTAAAACTACTTCTCTTCACAGAGATTTTTTTTTTAAGTGATCATTGTATTGTAGACGTATAAATGAATTTCAGCCCAAGTCAGATCTTGGCCACTGGATGGAAAGTACACTGGGAGTACAGTGTACTATTTACTCTGCAGTCCACCAGTACAGTATGCTGGTGGATGTGCACAGACTTCCAGTATTCCCCTTGTACTTAGGGAAAAACACCTCAGTCCTCCCTGTTCTTCATATACTGCATAGGAGCTTAAGTTGAAATTTGATATGCCATTTGCTGTTTTGCTATTGCTGTTGGTTTGGGCTTGTTTGTCTTTTTTTCCTACCTCAAAAAAGGAAGGAACAGCTACCACACTTCCAAAGCATAAAAATTTCCATACCCACTTGTATGGTAAATATTCGTCTGTATTTGGCATTACTTTTTCCTAATTTGATGATATAGTGGTGTTCTTCCTATTTATATTTATTCTGCCATTTTCCTGTTTTATATACCAGAAAATGTCTGCTCTATGCATTCATTTTAATGCGTAGCTTTTCTCCGTGGCTGCGTACAAGAGGGGCAATTTCTTTAACCTGGCAATCAGAAGGCTTTGTTCTTCTCGCAGTGTGTTCTTGATGAATGTAAACTAATAATTACAAACACTGCAGCACATGGCGTTACAACAACACAAGTGATTGGCTGGTCCGCAGTTGACAGGCTTTTCTTAGACTAGAGAAAGAGCAACACAAAAATTGCATTTTAAAGTGCTTATCTCACCAGAATTCCTAATCTTATTCTGGCACAATTATAGCAATGACATTTAGCAGTGCTGTTGCTAAAGAAACATGAACACTTTGAAGTCAGTGTTTTTCAAGGACATATGTCTTTTTCACTGTTTTTTGAAGGTGGAAAACTAAAATTCCCAAACATGCTAAATCTTTTAGAAGTGTATTACATTATCATTAATTTTAAAGTATGACCATGGAAGAAGCCCAAGCATGTATCTGGGAAAGGAGAATTGCTCTTATTATGAATGTGGAAAGTAATGCATTGATTTGGGGGGAGGGAGATTTGTTTTATTTTATGTATATATAATACATACATAAAGCATTATATGCATATGTATCTTATATGCATATATACATGTATATATTTCTCCCACTTCTCACAGTTGGGCACAAAGGAAAAATACTTTTGTCCCTCCTAGACTTTTGCTACTTGATCAGTCTGTCTACAGTGTGAGTGAACAGCTAAGTGGCTGCTGATATTGTGGGACTGTGCTGCTAGTTCCTTCTCTTGTTAAACAGAGAGCTGTTTCTTGTGAAGACAACTTTGGTATGCACGAGAAGTGTCTAAAGGAAGTTATTGCAGAGCGTGAGATGACTAAGGTCACACCATGCCACATGGTGGGAAAGCATGCTAGCTTTCCCTTCAAGATGGGACCTTATCTCTAAAACTAACATTATATTGTAGTTACTGTCAGTAATTAAAAGGATATTGCTGTATTAAGTGTATTTGGACCTGATCCTATGCTACTTGTAGATGTTGAACTCAAACGAGTGACTATTACATGAGTTCTTTTCTGTTCTGGTTTCTGTAAGAATGATTTCTTGATTATATTTTGAAAATCAGCTGCTGGTTTCTAATACTACTGTGGCATAATCAATATAGTCACACTCAAATCAATTTGAAATAGACACTTTTCTGGAATATCAACCTTACAAATGATCTTCTGCGCATGTTCTTTTTTGTTTAAGAATTACTATGCCTTCTTAGATTTTTTTTCTGATTATGGACCCAGACCTGAGAACTGAATACTTGGGAAGCCTTCTTCTGAAATAACTCTAGTGAAGATAAAGGATTAGTAACTGTATTTTAAAAAAAGTCTGGCTTGAAATACTTTCTACTTCTGCAATCAACTAATCAGTACCATAGCTGATAACATATATCTAACAGAATTGCTTTTACTCATGAGACTGAAATTTTCTTATTATGTAGCAATCTCATGACTCTTTCTTGTCTGTATTGGCCTAGCACCATTGACTTTGAAAGTCTCATATCAATCATGCAGGTGAAAGCAGAATAAAGGGTTAATGACGAGGGATGAAGTAATGGAATGATTTACTGTTGATCTTATTAAAAGGATCAGATAAAGTGTTGGTGCTTCAGGGTCTGTGTATTTTTAAAATAATTTTATAAAGCACCTTTCCTTCTTGCCACTTCTCTCTAGTACCCTCTTCCTGAGTACATAAATTACATGAGGATTATCCAGAGAGATACAAACATACTAAATAGGAAAAATACCTGTTTTAATAAATGCATACTAACAAATGTGAATATGAAGGTAGAAGGATAGATGTTAAAGAGAGATTAACTTGTTAGTTGTCTTTATCTTTGACAAGTCAGCAAGAAACACAGTGTTCTTAGGGAATAAAATTGTATGTCTGAGAAGGAAAAATCTAAGACTCCCATTAGCAGCCACTTGACCAGATGATTGTCTAACATGCTGAGAAAATCAAAAACTTAAAAGTGCATGAAAAACAATGATAGTGAGCTACTTCAATTGCTTCCATGAAAATTAGGTAAGTATCACGTCAGGCTGTGTTCCCAAGAGTAAGCTTTTAGGTGCTGTCAGGCTGTCTTATGGACAGAACCTGCAAGAGAAGGTTATGCAGCAGACCTTATTTATAATCTCAGTAATGAAGATCTGTTCTTTAACAGTGACCATAACATATTTACATTCAGAATTGTCCTGGAATCTGAGAAAGCTACTAGTATTATGTTTAATATATTTTTTTAAAGGAAGCTACATAACAGCGAAAAGGAGCTAAGTATTCTAGGAGGCATGGATGTGATGCTAGAATTAAAGATCATGTGCACAGAAATTTAAGGAGAACTGAAAGGAAGCTTATGTGACTGAATTGTAAGGTTAAAGAAAAAAGGAGGGGGGGTTATTAGAGTCACAGGGGCATCTTTCAGAAAGATTAGGAGTAATTACAGAAGTAAAAAAAAAAAAAGCACCTTAAATATAAGACTGCAATTATGCAGTTGGGGGAAAAAAAAAGGTTATAAGTTGCAAACAACAGAAAAACTTACTCGGTCCTCTTAAAGTATAACAGCAGCAGAAAATGTACGAGACCAACATATGATTGCTATACAAGAGATGCATTCAAAGAGGATTAGTTATTTAGCTTGTTCATCCATGGAAGAAACTGGGCAGTACCATTTAGAAACCCCTTTAGGTATTTGGCACAGGGCTTATCTGAAATATGAGTGTTGGTAAGAATTCCTTATGGAACAAATGGAAGGAAAACATGTCAGAATTAGTGCTTGAGTTCTGAAAGACTTGGTATGAAATAGCAAAACTTGAAACAGAGTTCACAACCTCTCTCACAAAATCATCCTGATTCTGTAAGACTGGAAGGTGCATTATGTGACTAGTCTTTAAAATAGAAGAGAAAAGTTTCAGGACCAATCCAGCAAGTCTGGGCTGTAAAGTCTAAAGTCCATTCTGAACAAAATAGAAAATATTCTAAAGTGAAGAGTCAATGAACAGATAAATATACCATATCAGGGAGAACTTAGGGCTTTTTTAAAGATTGGTCATGACTTTACAGCATTCTTCTTGAGAGTTCTCTAAGGTACAAGTTAGAGTGAATGAGAGAATAGTTAGGTAAGGTACTTGGATTTCTAAAAGACATTCATATAGTTCCGTAATTATTGGCTTTAAGGAGACTAAACTGCCGTAAGATTCTTGCCTGGAAGGCAATTTACTGAGAGGAAAGAAAGGAGAGAGACAATGACCACTTTTCGCAGGGGAGGTTGGTGACCAATGATGTTCTGCAACGGTCTATGCAGAAACCAACAGTGTTCATGATATTTATTAAATGGCTTGAATTAAATGGTGTATTGTATGGTGATGATGCTTTTCCATAATAAATAGTTCAGTAGAATTAAAAATGATGGAATGAGTGAAGGCATGCTGAAAGATTCTTAGGACACTCAATTACTAGTCAGTGAAGTAGCAGATGGAATTAAATGCATGCTAATATTAAGTGATATGCAAAGAGAGAAAATTCATCGTGTGTATATATTAAACTATATTTAGAGGTAACCGTTACCATTCAGGAATGATACCTAGGAGCTATGACAGTCAATTCCACTGAAATGCTACCTGAGTGTTTAGTAAAGATCAGAAAATTTTAATTAATAAATCATCACATTTAAATGATTATTAGGAAAGAAACATAGAAGGAATTCAGAAACGCCATCTTCCCATTCACCACTCCAGGACATAAGTAAATTTTGAATATTTTGTGATGTTTTGGTTCAAAATGCTCTGAGTATTAAGAGTAATACATATTTTAATTATTGATACTGTCTTAGTTGTTTTATATGTTTTGTGTTTTCTTTGTTTTTAGTGTACTTAAGAGTGAACTGTTACTTAAACAGAGAATATAGAAAAACTACTTAACCTATTTTATGTTCCAGTATTTCTAATTTCAATCTTCAACTCTTTTTTCCTTTTTGCCCACAGTCAGCTGTAGACTAGTTTTGTTGAATCAGAAGATGAATCTTTGTAGCCTTTCAATCATAACTGAGTTAGTCTCAGTCTTAAACTGAGAAAACACACCGTGTTGGCCTCCTGTTCACAATGTTGAACTTGGAATGGAGGAACTATATATGTTAATTATTGAGCTTTTCTTATGGATATTCTCATGTGATATGATTGTACTTTTTCAGCATTCATTTAGTAAAACTGTTAGCAAAACTCTAAAAAAGAAGTGGGAGTAGGAAGAGAGGAACAAAACCAACTTTTATGCATTTATGTATTAAGTAGATTAAAACCTTTATATGCTCTGTTTTCTTTTGCAGGGCCCATCTTGCTGGGATGATGTACTGATTCCAAACAGAATAACAGGTGTCTGCCAGTCCCAAAGGTGCAATGGGACTATTGCGGTAAGATATTACCATGTTTACCCAAGTACTTATGAAAATAATCATTTGTATCAATTCTAAACATATCAGAATTGTGCAAATTCTTGTGAATTAACGTGCAGGGTGTGCTTTAGAAGAGTTGTGTTGCATCAGATAATACACATATCCAGTTCTTCCAGGAGAACATGGTCAGTTGCTGTGTAGGGTGAAGGAAGAAAATTTTGATTGCTTTTACTGAAGCAGAGCTCTTAGGTGTTCAAGTATGCATACCTGAAATGCAGAGTGTAATACTTATGTGTAGTAAATGTGTTTTTTTTTTGTTGTAATTTTATATATAGTAATGCCCTGAAAGCTTCAGATTTCATCTTGCAAATCAGATTTTTCGTGTCAGATTTTCAGGCTTTTTGAAGCTGATTCTTTACACTGCTTGCTACTTTATGACCTGTCATGTGGCTATCGTTGTTGAAGTGTTTCTTGGAGTGATGTCAATGGAAAAACCTGAGTAAGAAGCAGCACAGGCATCTCAAGTTCTTAAGAATGAGGACTTCTGTTTTTAAAAGAGTATGTTTGTAGATGTTTCTATGTGTTAGATATTGTTCAATAGTATGGAAGAGGTCTTGGAAATACTTCCTTTTCAGGAAAAAGTTTAATTTGGCTTGTTCCTTCTGGATGCTGCTTTCAAAGACAGATTGGGATGTCATGAGTGCCATTTCTCCAAAGGCATTCACCTGCTCTAGTGTAGTAATCTCTTCGTCTTCCCTAGCAAGGCAGTTGTGAAGTGGTGCATCCACGCAGTTCTGAAGGCCTGCTTGGCCACGGATGGTGTCAGGAAACATTTTATCTAGCTTTAGGCACCACGCGGTTGTTTTAAAATAATGGGATTTATTGTTTTCTCCATGCACAGCCAGCAGAAACAGGTCTTGCTGCTTTGGGCTTCTGCTTCACAGTGTGCTCCTTGTAGTAGTGGCTCAACCGCCCTCTCTGATCTGGAAGACTATTCTGTGCGTCTCTATTACTGGCCTCTGTCAGGTGTGTGAGAACACTTCTCTCACATGAGCCCAATTTGGGTACAGATCAAATACCATTTATTTATTTATTTTTGCTATTTACCTAGATAGCCAAAAGTTGCTTTGTTCAGTGCAGAACAGCACCATAGGTCAAGACCCAAAAAATTGTATGAAGACTTTAGCAAAGGAAGGAATAACTTGGTCTCTGTTCTTGTCAGCTACTGTGTTCTTAAGCTAGAAACATGATAATGAAAATGGAATAGCATTTTACTTTATTTTCTAGTCCTCAAAACATATGTTCCATTTCAGCAAAATGTTTCTCAAAGAAGCAGTAAGACTTCTGTGAACTTACTAAAGCCTCTCTAAATACTGGGTTTCCTTAAATATCACTGTACTGTTCAAATTTTTTTTTTTTTTTGCTATGGATACAGTAGGCTGCTATATTTATTTCCCAGCTGTTTTTTAACTTTTTAAATGAATGTTCAGTATGTGATCATTATATGTTTCAAACAGTCAGAGTCCACTACACAGCAGCCACAGTATGTGTGTTTGGGGCAAGAAGTTTGCAGTAGGAAGCTTGTTATATTTTTACTCTATTTAACTTCAGTTTGTCTTCCCACATTTCTCCTGTGTGATTTGCATTTTGTATTTTTTTTGTATTGGAATCTTTAAGGATTTCTCATGAATGTTAGTCCATGTCCTGCATGTTTACACTCACTAGGCCCAAGCCTGAGGACAGAAATACCATGTAATGCTTACATAGCCAGCCTGTACCATGGGGAGTCTGTGCTCGTCTGGAATATACTGGACTGCAAATTCAAGGAAACAACCAAATGCTTTCTCTTTCAAGCATCTAAAGCTATTCTCAAACATCATTGCATGAAACATACTTCATTTTTTTCATCTCATTTGCTTTTGAGATTCAGACCTCAGTTTCATTTGAGAATAGAAATAATTTTCTGTAGCAGTTAGTGTATTGAGTAAAGTAGTAAATTTAATGATGTTATCAAAATGTGAATATAGTAAGCTAAAGAACTATGATCTCATTATAGTATGCCTCCGATACATTGCTATATTATTCATTAATTCTTCCTTGTGTGCAGTGAAATAGTTATTTGTGAAAGGAGCTATATCTGTCTGTCCTTGCAACCATTAGAATATTTCCAACAAATAAAATTACTTGGTAACTTTAAAAATTCTGAGATATACTTGGCATTAAGAAAACTCTTGATTTCAGTCTATGGATTTCTTCTACTTCAGTGCTGTCCACGTTAGTTTGTCTTATACATTAAAAGTTAGTCCAGATATCACATGCTTTAAAAATGCTTGCAGTGTGATGGAACAGGAGTGTTAATTAAAACACCAGATGAGAGTTCTTTAAAGACGACCTAAAATCTGTGAAGTAAGATTATGACAGCTTCTTTATCCATCCTTGAAAAGGGAATGATTCAAATTTCACACTGGACAATCTTCAGAGTTTTTCTTACTTCCCAGAGGCTCTGAGGCTGTTGCTTTTATTCCTTAGGAACTTTTACATTCTTTTATACCCTGTAGTATGAAATCTGTGCAAGTAAAATGAATAAAGCTTAAATGCAAGTGAGTGTTAGTTCAAAGTTAAGTAACAAACTGGACTCAGTGTAACCTAATTTCCTATTTTGTGACATAGGAAAGGGATAGATAACAAATGGTCAAATAACTTCAGAGAATTTTCTGAATTGAATTCTATTTCCTTCACAAACCTTTCAATTTATTGAAGACAAACTGCTGTTTTAATCGATAAGTTGTTGTGTTAAACATATCTAATGCTTTTGCTTGATTTGTGATTCTTTTGCATACAAAAATAAGCTTCTACATTTCTTGTGAAAAGTCTATGAAAGTCTTTGAAAGTCTATTTAGCTGAGCATAACAGTGGACAAAGTCACTTTTAATCTCATGAAAATGTCAGGTTAGTTTGGTGTCTAGTTACCATAAGCCCTTGTTGATTGACATTATTTCTTTATTAAGAAAGTTGCATTTTTTAATAATGTATCATTTCTTTATTAAAAATTACCAAACTTGTTCTATCCAGGGCTGGTGTCAGTTCTACATGCCTGTAATTACCTAGATTACCTCTTATAAAGCTGTCCTTGGTTATGATATGATGTGGTTTTGTTTCTGTAAAATCATCCTTATAAAACTGTGCTGGTTTTGTTTTTATTTTATTTTGTCACCAGTGTGTTTTTTGAAGTGTATATTGGTGGGGTGGGGAAACAACAAATAAAACAGCAGACTTAGAGTAACCTATCAAGGTGCTGTAATTAAATTGCAGTGTTTTTTTTTTTTTGTTTTTTTGTTTTTTTTTTGCTAGACCATGATTTAATGTACTTACCTTTTTTACCTGTAATTACTATTATCTGAAATGCTTGAATAGTGAAGAAACAAACAAGGAAGTTGACTTTTTTTTTTTTTGTATGTAAAAGTCCATAATATGTTGTAGACTTCTTGACATTGTAGTTGCAGATTATTTCAACTCAGTTTTAACTTCCCAGTTACCTATTTAGGAAACTATAATTAGATCTTTGTCTTGCAGATATTCTCAAAGTAACCTCATTCTGGAGTCGATCAATGTTTCATTTATAAAGAAATTCTGTTATTCCATTCTACAGCAGAAAAATCAATGATAGGTAAAGAACTGAATTATAAAATAGAATTAATTCTATACAAAGACAGAAAAACTGAATTATTTATCTTGGGGAGAAAACTAAAGGCTTTTATTATTAAAATGTATCCTCATCTTAAAAAAAAGTGAATATTCACTCTTTCCCAGTAGAAATACATTATTTTCCACAGTATGTTGGATACTTCTTATGGGTCACAGGTAAGTATCAAAGCCTACCATCAGCAAATGTCACAAGTATGATTTAGATCAATTGGTCACATATTGCACAAAAAACCTGTTCTTTTAAAGTATTCTTAAGAAGCTATATTTTTTAAACAATGTGTAATTTTGTGGATCATAAAAAATGTAAAGCTGAGGTCGGGCCAGGTCCTTGGATCTGTTCTTCAGTTTTCTCAATATCACCTATGAAGAATTCCTTATTATTTCTGTAAGCAGACATTACGTAGACATTCTGGCAAACCCGAAGGAGCTTGTGTGTTTGTACTCTGTATTGAATGGTTTCAGGAGGTTTAGTTGATCTTTCCTCTGTTGCAATCTTCAGTATTTACATGTGAGGAAATGTCACAGTTTTGTAGAAGATCAAACAAACTATCTTGAAGATTATAATGCTTTCAAACAAATTCTTTGCTCTTTGATGTTCTTCAGTTGTTAACTCTGCTACTCAAGGGGGGGAGGGGGGACACAACTTTGCTCATTATTTTTTGTATCTCTAGAAAGTTTGTCTGAAAACGTGCATGTTAATTGTGCTTTCCGAGATTTTTTTTTCTGGTGTCTAATTTTGTCTTCTGTGAACAATTACTTTGCATCATCATTCTCAGCTGCTATGTTTTGTTGGTCTATTGAAATAGCCTTTAGAAAATAAGCAGTTCTGAGCACAGCTTCACATCTCCTTCAATAAGAGCTCTTGAAAATGTTTTCAAACAGTTGTAGGTGCCTCATCATTTTTGAAGCAGTTTCAGGTGAGCTGAAGATCTGTCCTGTAACAAGAATTGTTGAGAGTTTTTGCAAGACCAATATCTTAGATTACCAAGTCAACAACTTCTGTTTTGATGCCCTTGGATTTGTTGAAATAGCAGTTAATGTCTTATAAATGATAATTTTATATCCTTCTTGAGACAGTATCAAGGGCCCAATTTTATGGAAAGTGAGCAGAGTGCAGTTGGACATCATGCAACCAAATCATTCACAGCCTCTGTAATTCCATTGCTTGTGCTGAAAGGGAGATAGTATCAGCAAGCCAAAACTGAATGAAAATGCCCCTTTTATACTTTGGAGATTTTACTTTTAGAAATGTCTGAAAAACGTGTCAATGATGCACTGCAGTGAGGAACTCTCTATCCAGGCTGTGGTAGCAT